GGCGATATCATTGATACCCCATCCCCACGCACTCCTACCGTGAGCATTGGTTTCGCGTCGATTCCATACTCCATGGATGAGCAGATTCTCAAGACGGACTTTGCGGAACTCTTTGGTAAGTCTTGACTCCCTTCTCAATCTACTCTCGGAGCGCAACTCAACTAACACACCCCAGACTGGTTCGCCGTCCATGCCGCCTGGACCGCCGAAGCCGGCGTCGACATCTCCATCACGCTCAACAAGTACAAGAAGCACTACAAAGACGGCGAGAAGGAGAAGATCCGCGAAGTCGTCCTCACCGTCCGCGACGACGTCCGTATCGACCAAGACCAAGCCGACTCGCTCTTCAAGACCGTCAAGGAGGCGTTGGAGAACAACGAGGAGGGCATTGATTTCCAGCCGTGGCACCGTGCGGATCAGTTGGCGCCTAGGCAGATGGTGTGGACGCACAAGAGTAGTGCGGGTAGGAAGGTTATTAGGCCGATTGTTGAGGAGGCGGTTATGAAGTGGGATTAAGGGTGGATTTGGACGGGGCTTTGATACCTATGTGAAGACGAGTCTTTATGAAATGTACCTATCAATCCACATATATTCCAGCCGTATACATGATGATCTGTAATGTGAGTTGGATAAGATGCTCAACGTCTATCCTTCACGGTAGGTTCTGGTCCATGGGGTACGCTCAGAGGATGACAAAACTCAAGCGGCGTTGCTGCATACACGGTATTTGTTCTCACAAAGTGAACGGCAATGAAGATCATGTATGCTTTACCCTGGAAAACACATGCAGGGCTTCTTCAATACATCTTGCAAATGGCACTGATAGATGGCGAAATCCATGCAGTGTTGCTGCATACATGATATTGATGCCCAACAAGTGGGAAAGCTCCAGGACAATGTATATCTCAATCTGGAGGGTAGCAATGCGACTTCTTCATACGTTTCACGTCAGTGGCATGAGTCGATACCAGAATACGTGCAGCGTTGCTGCTTACACAGTACTGATACTTGGCAATTAGGAGGTATCCAGGGTGATGTATGCTTCAAACTACGAAGTAGATACACTTCCCCTAATCGATTCTCGCGAACAACATCAGTGTGTGCTAGAACCCAAATCGTGTTGCCGCATACATGGTATCAAACATGAATAAGTACGCGGTATCGAAGCCGATGTATACATCTGGCAGTACAAATGGAGAAAGGCATAGCCGCTGGGTTGCAGCATACGTGCTCTTCACTCTCAACAATTGAGCGGTTTCCAGAGCAATGTATACGTCTGGCAGCCCCGATTAACGGCAGTATCCACATCGGACTACCGCATACATAGTATTGAAAGTCAACAAATAGAGGGTGTCTAGGACAATGTATGCTCCCTGCAGCACTGGCAGACGCTAATATCAACGTCAAGTTGCCGCATACATAGTGTTATATATCGGCGAATGCATGGTATCCAAGGTCAAGTATACTTCTGGCAGCCCCGATGAACGGCAGTAGCTAGTTGGGATTGCCGCATACATTGTGTTGAACTTGGAGAACTAGACATTACCTAAGTTGATGTATACTCCTGGCAGTACCAACGAATACAAATATACACGTTGGGTTACCGCATACATCGTGGTATATATCGCCGAATGTTTAGGATTCAAGGTCAAGTATACACCAGGCACCACCAAGCGACGACAGCGTTGCAGTAGGTTTGCCGCATACACTGTATTAAACTCCATCAACTAGGTGGTCCTCAACGTAACGTATTCTTCAACGCAGATTTTTCAGGGTGCAGAATCAAGATCATAACTCATCATTCCTAGGCTACGTGAAGCTCTTTGCCATACAAAACTACAAAAACGACCAATTCCAAAAAACACTTACAAAAAAAACAAGACAATCCTACAATGTATGCCCCCACCCGGCTATCTTCAGCCCCTGAGAGCCTGCCCTTTCGGGCGGCTGGAACTCAAGGGGCCGTCAAGCCAGGGTGGAGGGGAACAACAACCAAAACGACCAACTTCCTCCAATCAAAACAAAATCATACCATCTCATCTAACGCCGCCTGAAAACGAATGGGGTATCTAACGCCGAAAAAATGCTGAGTAGTCGTTTCCGTCTATGGGCGCTACCTGGGGCGGGCGCTACGAGCAGCTGGCTTCCTAACGTTGGCCGTGTTGGTCTTTGGTGACAGCACATGAGACGAAGTGGTTGTCTTTGTGCGGGAAGCAGCGCGGGTTGCGCGCGTAGTTGGGGCAGCAGCAGCAGGCGCCGATTTCTGAGTGGGTGCCCTAGCGCGCTTCTTTGGTACAGGTAGGTCTGCATTTTCCTTGTCCTCGCCAGACAATTCGTCGCTGCTGCGCTTCTTGGCGCGTGTGGTCTTTGTTGGCTGAGCGTATGTCGGTGTGGGCTTGGCCTTGGCGGCAGGCTTTGCGCGCCTGGTGTCTGGGGAGGAAGTCGCGGGCGCTGAGGAGCTTGTTGGGATAGAGGTTGTGGGAGCCGCGCGTGTCTTGCGTGAGGCAGGTGCTGGCGCTGGCGCTGATGTCTTCTTGGGTGGCGCAGTCTTGATTGGTGCTGGCGCGGTCGCGGTCGCGACTGGTTGTGCAGGCGCGGATGCCTTGAGGAGGTCTAGTAGCGTGGTTTGGCGCGTCACGGTCGGGATGCGGTTGACGCGACGCTCGAGACGCGACTGCATGCTGGCACACTGCGCGTCGCACTGCGCTCGTAGCTTCTCTTTGCGCGAGTCGAGCTCGATCTGGAGGTTGGCTAGCATGTTGGCTTTCGCCTCAGCTGTGATGCCGTCTTTGATGTTGTTCATCGCGTGTTGTGTGATGTGTGACGCGTCGGCGGCGGCGATGTTATTGTGAAGTGCCGGAGAGTACCAGCTAGCAGAGAAGAGCTGCTGAGACTTTCAAAGATCTGATATTGATCTTGAGAGGCTCGGGTGTGGGGGTGGTGGAAGAGGGTTGCAGCCTCCAAATGTTGTGGTGGTGGAGAACAGTAAACAACGCGAGGCAAGCCGCGACGATGATACTGGGGAGAGGATTTGAGTGGTACAAGTGACTTATTGAGACTTTCTGATGCTTTTGCAACAACTTTTGAGAGATTTGGAGCAGATTTGATGTGGTTGCGGGTGGTGGTGGTTGCAGCTGCTGAATCAGAGTGGGATGTTGGAGGAAGGAACGTTGGAGCCCGCAGGTCTGTCCTTTACGCCAGCGCCAAGGGCGACGTCACGGCCTAAGCAGTACGCTTGCTACATCGAGGTTGGTCGCAAGACAAGAGAGAACACTAAAGTACAGGATAGCAATCTGCGCAGCAACAATTGCAGCGCAGCGCTTTAGGATTAGAGTCGCAATATTCGATGTTGGATTGCACGAGTAAGTTTCTAGATGTTGCAGATGCCGTCTGAGTCATTTCTCCTCCGACACGCGCACGGCCTCCCGCAGGCGCGGTCACACTGCACGTGATCTCGGTGGATCCCATGGCCAGCCTCCGTCCTCCGCTGCGGCGACCTGAGCTCAGCATCATAAGGTTACCGTCGATCCAACCAACTACCCAAACAATCACCTAAACCCCACACACATCCGGCCTTCAAGATGGTGTTAGAAGCTTCTATGATAGTGTAAGGTTATATGCACTCACACATCGATCGCATACTAACTTCAGCAGCGTTGACAACAGCGAAGCTAGTCGAAATGGCGATTATGTACCCTCGCGATGGGAAGCACAACAGGACGCCGTGAACATGATCTTCTCCGCGAAGACTGGTGCAAACCCAGAGTCATCCGTCGGTCTCATGAGCATGGGAGGCAACACCCCGGAGATCCTCACGACCCTGACAACGGACATTGGCAAGGTGTTGGACGGTCTGCACCGGACAAAGATAAAGGGCAGCTCACACTTCGTGACTGGCATCAACGTCGCGGCTGTAAGTTGGCAATAACCCTTGGGATGACACCTGCTAACTGAACTTGCAGTTGGCTCTCAAGCACAGACAGAACAAGTCGCAGAAGCAGCGGATAGTCATGTTCAACTGCAGCCCCATCGAGGAGGACGAGAAGAACCTGGTCAAGCTGGCAAAGAAGATGAAGAAGAGCGGTATCAGCATCGACATCATCGCATTCGGCGAGCTGAGCGACGACACCACGCGGAAACTCCAAGCCTTTAGCGACAACGTACAAAGCGCCGAAGGCTCCTACCTCGCCACCATTCCACCCAGCGCGAACCTGCTCAGCGATTCGTTGATTACTACACCTATAGTTGGCGGGGAGGGTGCATCCAGCGGTGGTGGAGACAGCGGTTCCGGAGGCGGAGGCGGCGGTGCTTCCGGCGGCAACGACTTCGAGTTCGGCGTGGATCCATCGGTAGACCCCGAGCTCGCATTGGCGCTGAGGATGTCTTTCGAGGAAGAGAAGGCACGGCAGGAGAAGGACAAGAAGACGAAGGAGGCGGCCGAGGGCAAGTCGGAGCTCGAGCCGGTGGCTGAGGATGACGAGAAGCAGCCGCTGCTGGACAGCTCGGGCCAGCCTGGTGGAAGCGGCAGCAAGGACAAGAAGGACGACGACCCAGACAAGATGGACACGGCATAAGCGGACATAGCGCAGCTAGGAAGAGGAACGCCTTTGAAGCTTCACGGTGGAGCAGGAGTATTCACGGCGTCTACTGTATGACTAGAGCTGGCGTCTACCGCATGGCATGGATGAAATGAAGCAAATAATGAACATCAGTCTACATTGATAGGTACTGGAGACAGTACTATCTTCTACAGCACATCTCTCACAACTTGACTTCCCTAGTGGGTGGTCTCTCTTCGTCCCCAAACCCGACACTGTCATCCATGTTACGGACCCAAGAGTGATGCCCTGGAGCTTTGTACGAGAGTCTCTAGTGTGCTCCCGAACTGCAACCAGTGGCAATGCATGCCGCAGCAGAACGCTCCTCGTGCTGTTCAACACGAGTCCCGCTTTGTTTCTCTTCATTCCGATTCGTGGTATCATATTCCCAACACGGCCTCCTCAACCCCCTCTGACTTTGACAAAGCTATCCAGCCCCCGATCGAACTTCTCGCACCGAATCGGCATCTCAACGGTATAGAACGGATTCTTCATGACGTAGTCCGCATACAATTCATATATCCTCTTCATCATAGTATCGACATTCGGTTGCTGGGGCTCAGTGAAGAGCAAGAATTTGACACCGGTCTGTGTTTGGAAACATTGGATGCGGAAGTGTGAGCTTTCGAGGACCTCGATACCGGTTGCGCGGACAGGGAAGGTCTGGAGATTCGGTGTGGTGGTAGAGGGAGGCGGCGCGCGGACGGGTGGGACTGGAGAGAGCTGCGCTGTGATGGCGTGCATTCTAGACGCTCATCAGTGGAAGTTTATACGCCCAGAAGATTGCGATTTACCCATGAAAAGATCCAGCGAGCATGAGATAGTCATTGCTGGTGAGCTTGCTCATGCCCGCGTGGAACTCGCGATTGTAGATGAGACCGCCAGACTTGCTGATGACGAACAGCGCGAACACCACCCTACACTATAGTGTTAGCCGACAACCTAGGAACACACTCGGCTTGCTTATTACATCTTGACGATCGGTGCGCAAGGAACAGACTATCGCGACTGTCGGCGGCGTGGTGTTGCGGCTCGCGTTCCGCCCTGTGGGACCCTGGGAGGGGCTAGTTGCACACCGCAGCCAACTACCCACTCACCTTTGACAGCTCACATCGGTGTTTGCTTGGCCATTCACACGGTTGAGGCCCGCTCACTCCTACCACTGTTTCTCCTCAAGACTCCCCACACCACGGCACCCACACCCGCTCAATATTCTCAGCCCGGCCAACGCGGACCGTTGAGCTTCACCAACCCCGCGAATCTCAACTATCCAAACCGCTGCCGGGAGGCCTCCACACACCATCATGTCCAACCAAAGCATTCTTAGAATCACCCGCGAACTCGGCGAGATCCAGCGCGGCTCCGACCTCTCCATAGCCGTTGCCTGCCGCGATATTGACGTGCGCCATGTGCGGGCGCTAATCATAGGCCCACCTGACACCCCCTACGAGTTCGGCTTCTTCGAGTTCGCTGTTAAGTTTGCGCGCGAATACCCTACTAAGGCTCCGAGTGTGACGGCTATAACTACCCATGGTGGGCGTACGCGATTCAATCCCAACATATACGCGGGCGGCAAGGTGTGCCTATCGATTCTTGGGTAAGTGACCTTGAAGCATACGAGGGTGTATGTTCTGTCAAGAGACAACACAAAACGTATCGAATGCCCCTAGGCTGTCTTCAAGTAAAGCAAAACACGGCAGCCCTGAAGCATACGAACACGTTTAATTTGTCAAAAGACGAGACAAAACGCATCAGATACCTCCAAGGCTGAGTCTATGCTAACAGAATGCAGTACATGGCGAGGAGAGCGTGGTGAAGAATGGTCGTCTGCCCAGGGCCTCGAGTCTATCCTCATCTCCATCCAGAGCCTTATGTCGAGCAACCCGTACGAAAATGAGCCTGGCTTCGAGGACGCAAATTCGGACTACGACAAGAAGAACCAGGAGGCATACGTAGACAAGATCCGACACGAGTCGCTGCGCATATCCGTCATCGATCGCCTGGAAGAATACCTAGGCATCAATTGGGGGAGGTCTGGCGTAACGGTCTACAACGCGGAGGAGGACTACCAGTCGAGCAGGGACGACGCGCCCTTCGAGCCCTTCAAGGACCTCTGCAAGCGACGCTTCCTATGGTACTACCAATCATATCTAGCTCGCGTGGACGAGGCAGTGAAGAAGAACAAGGATGGGGACCGCTTTGAGAAGATGCCGTTCGAGGGCCCGGGCAACGCGATGGAGGGCACATTCCAGTACACACAGCTCCGCGAGCGCCTGGTCAAGATCTTCGAGACGCTCAACAAGGAAATGGAGGCATGGGCCGCCGAGGGCATGATGGCTGTTAGCAAAGAGATGAGTATTGCCAACAACCTCCAGCGCCAATATGAGCAAATCATCGAGAAGTACAAGAAGCAAGACGCCGTTACTCTGGATCTTGATCTTGTCGATAAGAACCCATTCGTATGGCAGCTTGTCCTGTTCGGGAGACCTATGACGAATCTCGACGGCGGCATGTTCCGGATTATGCTATATATTAGTCCCAAGTTCCCAGAGGTTCTACCGCGTGTTAGATTTGAGGGTAACGTAGCCATCACGCGTGCTTTTTGAGATTTCTCCGCTAACTGATGTCTAGTATGTATCCGCCCGGTTCTTATATGGAGATGCTGTTGTCGAATTACCTCATAACGTATTCCTCAAGACAAGCTGACATTTTGATAGACACCGGTTCTCTACCACCACCGCGTATCGCCCGATGGCATACTCTGCTACGATGCTGCCCGTAAGGACGACATGCGCTCACATATTGAGGCCATCATTGCGGCTATCGAGGAGGAGTCACCTGCTTACGACCCACGCACACTGGTCAATCCCGAGGCTGCGAAGCTGTTCTGGGGCACTCCAGACGAAAAGAAGCTCTACAACCGTAAATTGAGGCGATCCGCACAGGATAGCGCTGAGTGAGTGTTATTCGTGGACGCTGCAACGGCATCTGCTAATATTCGTCTAGGAACTGCTTTTAGAGATTGCGAACTTATGATCCCACGGCCGGTCTTCCTCTCGATATGACATTACATGATACCCCAAGCCCGACCTTGCGAGGTGGCTTGCATTATACGGCGTTCGTTCATCAGGGCTATGGGCACAGCATGGGTAACGGCGTTAGTCATGAAATACGAATGATATTTTGTCTCATTGAAGTGATTTCACATGTTCCAGATGTCTACATTGTCTCTGGAACTCATGTTTCTCAATATTTTATGCTGTTGCAGGCTGCAGGCTAGACTTGAACTTGTGAAATTTGTCCCTTGTCTAGTTGGGATTGGGAACGATGCAGAAGTGTACATTACCCTCACATGTTTGATATTTGTATTACCATGTTATTGTAGGATGTAGAGCACCTGTTCATCTTCTCGTACAGGGTACGGCGCTTCTGCACGCGCGAGTATGGCCGTTGAGACCCTGACATGCGGGAACCTTGAAGCTAACCCAAGCCCCCGGAAAGTGTTCCCCCGAGCGCTCTCCGCAAAACAATCCCTGATCGTCGCACCACCAATTGCACTGACACTCCATCCTCCACCATGCCGAACAACTCAGACACTATCCAATCGCTCGGGAAGGTCCTCGTCGTCGGAGGCTGCGGTTTCCTAGGAAGCCACATCGTCAGCTTGATCGTCAAGCGTCACCCTCAGACACAAATCGCCGTCCTCGATCTACGAACCAACTCGAATCGCAACGCCAGCCCGAACGTCTCCTACCACGATGGCGATATCACGGATGCTCCTGCCATGAAGGCTCTGTTCTCGCAGATCAAGCCCGACGCCGTCATCCACACAGCGTCTCCACACTTCGATCTGAAGCCTGAGATCCACGACAAGGTCAATGTTGGGGGGACCAAGGTCCTGCTACAGGCCGCGCAAGAGTCTGGAGTAAAGGGTTTCGTGTACACAAGCTCAGCGAGTGTCATCCTCGACCACGTGAACGATCTAGTCAACGCGGACGAGAGATGGCCGCTTGTTACTGGTGACGACCAGCCTGAGTACTATACAACCACAAAGGTAAGCACACAATCGCATTGTTGTTCCCCCAGAAGCTGACGATGTAATAGGCATACGCCGAGACGGCTGTCCTCCAAGCAAACCGCCATCCTGAGAACTCCCCTAACTTCCTTACCTGCGCCATCCGTCCCGCTGGCATCTTTGGTGAAGGCGACGTACAACTGCTTCCTAAGATGGTTGGCGCATACCGCAAAGGACAGACCAAGTTCCAAGTCGGCGAGAACACCAATCTGTTCGACTTCACCTACGTCGAGAACGTCGCATACGGCCACGTGCTCGCCGCAATCGCGCTTCTCCACACCCACAAACGCCTCCCCAGCATTCCTCTCGATAACGAGCGTGTCGACGGCGAAGCCTTCCTCATCACCAACGGACAACCCGTATACTTCTGGGACTTTGCGCGTGCGGTATGGCACGAGGCGGGCGACCGAACACCTTTGAGCAGCGTGTGGCACCTTAGCACCGAATTCATGTGGGCTATTGGCACGATCCTGGAAAACGTCTTTTGGCTCATGGGCAAGAAGCCCAACCTGACTAGGGCTCAGGTCAAGTACAGCAGCATGTCCAAGTACCACAGCATCAACAAGGCGAGACTGCGGTTAGGATATGAACCTCTTGTTACTTTGGACGAGGGTATCAAGAGGGGTGTACAATATATCCTGGAACAGGAGAAGAAAGCTGGGGAGAAGAAGGGTCAGTAGACTCATGCAAACATATGAGCAGAGGCTATCGAAGACGATTTATTCCCATATTGCAGGTGTATAGTGTTTGTAGATAATGTAATTACATGCCCTCGACATCTTCGATGCAAGCAAGCACTTCACTACGATGCTCGTATTTCTCAACTCAGGGAAGCTCTCGTAAATACATGCACCCTGTCGTGGCCAGATGGAGCTAGAACCTCCCCAAGGCGGGACCCACTCCCGATTAAGTCAACTTCGTCGCGCGCGTAGCTCAGCGACCTCCCCAACCCCACGTTCACCCCACCCGTCACCATGGCGCGCAATCACGAAGTATGTCGCGCCCGCTACTTCCCGAGTCAGCATACGAAGCTCTCGGCCTCTCTCCTGAAACGATCAAAGACCTGATGAATCCCAAGCCTGCGCCCGAACCTACCGAAATCCACGCGCCGAACCTCCTGCAGAGTGACGAAGACAATGCGCGCCCCATGTCGCCCAACGAAACTTCCATTACGCTATACGCCGAACTGCTGCTGCATATACGTACGGTTACGCTTTTTGCATCGCTGCGCACAAATTTCTCCCGGTCGACGGACGCGAAGCTGTCGTCTGATGGCTCTTACATCACTGTATCCCATGAGGGCCAGTCTGCGTCAATACGCCTTCCTATCAACGTCAAAGGCGGAGGCGACGCTGCGCTAGAACTACCATCACAGCCTCCAACGAAAGAGTTGACACTCCGTCTTCAGCTGGAAGAAAAGGAAGGAAGCGACCTTCTTGGGACACTGCAACGCGAAGACCGACAGGCCAACATTGTACCGTGGGACGGCGCTTCGCTCAACGATGCGAAAGATGTTGAGATGTCCTGCAAAGGCTGCGACGGTATCCTTGTAGCGAAAGGAAAGATTCAACAGTGGAGAGACCTGCCTAATGAGAATTGGGCTGAGATGATGGACTTTTGGCATTGCCATAAGCCAGACGAGCACCACTTGCACGATCACATGCATGATGAAGTCGTCGGTCAGAAGGGCTACGCGGCTGGGAACCGCCTGCAGGCTATGGGAGGTGTAGGGTTTGTTGATCTGGCCAGCTTTCTACTGGCAGAGTCGGATTGCGAAGGCGCACAGGTAAGCTACAACCTTCTTTCAACCGTGTCGTGCGGTTCCTACATCGTCACTTCATGAGGTTGCAACATGTATGGGCGCAAAGAAGGCGAACTCGCCTCATCAGTGGCATTCATCGTCGATACAAGCGCCCTAGATTGATAGGCTCATACACGTACTCTCGGTTCCGGTGTACCCTCTTCCCCAGGTTGATGGGTTGCCGGCGCCATCGAGTCAGCGGCCTGGCGTTTCACTGTCTCTATACCCTCAGACCCTTGGGATTGGCAGGTTTAGCCAAGGCTACATATTACACTGTCACCTACTGTTGTCTAGTGTCACACATGCTGACATGACGCAGCTCTCCTCTTCTCCCGAAGGCACAGATCAAAATCTGATCCAATGCAAACATTGCAACCACACAATCGGCGCCCAGGAACCCTCAACCGACGGCTGGCGAATACGAAAATGGGCCATCAGCATACGATCTGCAAAAATCACTCCATCGTCGCCAACTACGCATACAGTCCAAAAATGGATATCAGTCCGCCTCCTCCACCTCATAGAAAACACCGGCCTCCGCAAGTTTCACATCCACACCGCCGCACCACCCGACCAATCCCAAGAAACCCCCATACCCTCCCTCCTCATCTGGGTCTTCACCCCCGACCTCCTCTTCTCCTCTTCCATACCCACGCCCGGCCGTCTCGATCCTACACGCACGATGAAAGTCTTCTACCAGAAACAGACTTGGCAGGCTTTGAAGCCGGGTGAGCCGGAGAGTGCTACCATAGAGGATGTGGAGTTTCCGGCGGGTCTGTATGAAGAGTTGGAGAAGGGGTTGGAGAGAAGTCAGAGGTTGTTGCCGCCGACGGCGAAGAAGTTTCAGGGGTGGGATGTTGGGCTTTTGGAGAGGTTTGAGGTGGTTGAGGCGGGGTTGGGGTGTGTGGGGGAGGAGAGTGAAGCTGATGGGAGTGGGGAGGGGCTGGGGAACGGGTTGGGCGGTGAGATACCGGAGGAGGATGTTGATTAATTTGATCAGACGGATTAATGAGTATACACATATTTATGTCTCTTACAGAAGCTTTACTGTAGCATTCATTCGTGTTCCATCTGCTGTCTAATTTTCGTTCTTTGTTGAAATGCATCATACAAGACTGTCGGTCTCTGAGCGGGTGTATGGGATGACGATTGCTAGCAGGGTGAGAGCAAGCGCCTACCTCACCCGTAGCGCATTCCCATCCGCTCAATCACCGCTGACCTCGCAAGGATAAAACTGGCTTCATCTCCCACGAACTGCGCTTCTCTCTATCCCTCCCTCTCTCTCTCTCTTCCCGCAAGTCAGTCAAGATTCGCATCCACTTCAACCACATCATCCATCCACCAGTATGTCTATAGTCGCCAAGGTTGCTGCGATGCAGCGACATCGTGCCGCCGCCGCCGCCGAGACTCCAGATGATCTTCCGGATGTGAGAGTCACTTCCGAATCATCAACTACCCCAAGGATCGGCCAGTCTACCATGGACACTGGACTCCGAGGTCTATGCCAGTCCACGCAATCCGTCGGTCTAGACGACCAAGTAGCTACCGGGGTCTCAGAAGAAGCACCCGACATGCTACAACTCAGCGCCGATCCCGAGAAGCTCGCCATTGCTGAAGACAATGCTGAAAACTCACCTCTCCTCCGTCTGCCAGCTGAGATCCGCAACACCATCTACGACTTGGTTCTCAGCTCTCACCGCGACTTCCACACCTTCGATGTTGCACGCCAGAAGAGTATGCGGCAGAATGGTGGAAGCGAAACTACTATACAACAGCTCGCTTTGTTGCAAGTGTGCCGCCAACTCTACACCGAAACCAACCTTATCGCCCTCAACTCTACACCTTTCGCCTTCGGCTCTGTCACCGACTTCTCCAAGTACCTCGCTCAGACACTGCGCCCTCGCCAAATCAGCGCTATAGCCGTGCTCAAGTGCCCATTCCGCGAGGTCTACTTCCCTGGCTTCGGCGTAAACTCCGCGTTTATCGGGCTCCTTCGTGATAGTTTACGTGGGCTGAAGGTGCTGGTATTGTTTGGTGTGAGGAGTAAGGCCGTCGAGGAGGAGGCGATGCGGGTCATAGAGAGGAAGATCGCGAGGGAGATTAAAGAGGGGTGTGGAGAGCTGGAGGTGAAGGTTGAGTTGACGAGGAATGGTTTGCAGTGGCGCAAGGAGGTCGCATCGGTCTATGGCCGTGGAGAGCGGAGTTTGGGCGCAGAGTGACGAGGGTGATTGACTCTGCTTGACCTTCCCTGCAAGAATATCAAAAGCTGTGTACGATTAGACATGGGTTAGTATTGCGTGCGTTCAATCACCACTCAACATTTGCAGAGACAAGATCTTCCTTTCCACCAGTTTTATTTATCTATCTATCCTACACTATCTGATGATCTCTACCGCAGCCTTAAGACTCCGTAAATGGGCAGTCCGCAAAGAAGGAGAAGGGGGGAGATCAAAATCAGTCGCCAGATAAAAGAAGAAGGGGGGAAATGAAAACCCGCGCAAACAAACAAAGATCCTTTGTTTTTTTGTGGAGTTTCTGTTCTGTTCGAGGCGCTATCCCACACCCAGTGTGGGAAAAGAGAGAGTGAAGAGCAAGGCCGTAAATGCATGCGTGCCCGATTATATCTTCTCAATTCCTCCTCTTGTCATAACAGTCGTGAATCGCTGTTCAAAGAAACACCCAGTGTCCAGACGCCGGCTCAATGGAAAATTACTCCTTCTGTTTAAGTACGGGTGTGAAAGACGGCTATACAAGTGCCCGCTAATCGTATACAATGCAGTGCGGGAATTACTGCTGGTTCCCGAAGCCCATAAAGTTCAAATCATCCAACGTAGTGGTGGGCTCAATGTATTGGGGGTCGAACTGGCCTCCAACCTGGTTGAAGTCGGGAAAGAAGTTGGCCGTGTGGTTGAACGTCATCTGGCTGGGTGGCGCAGTGTCGAACAACGTGAAGTCCTGGCCGGGGCGACTGAAGCCTTGCATGGTCATGTCCATGTCACCGCCAAAGCCCTCATCCATGTCTGGTGAGTAGAGGGTGATGTCAGGCTGAGCCATGGGTGATAGATGTGGCAGACCGTTCATGTTGTTATTCGTCGCAAATGGCAGCGGCGCGAAGTCGAACGCTGTGCTCATTGGGGTTGGCTGCTGGTAGCCTGTGTTGAAGTTTGCGTTCAGTGCACAGGCGTTGTAGATGTCGTTGTGGTTGATGTGGGTATCTTCTGGCGTCACAGCATCGTCGAAGGATGTGGGCTCAACGGGCGAATGTCCAGACGAGTATGTGAAGTGAGAGCCATCGGTGGTGATCGAGTCACGACGGAAGTCATCTTGGTAACCGTGGGCACTCATGGCCGGCGTTCCGAAGCCATAGCAGTTAAAGTTCTCGATCATGGGCACTTGAGGCGAAGCAGCGAATGGTGTGATAGGTGTAGTCATGGTCGCCGACATGGGTGTACCGATGAAGGGAGTGAGAGGGGTAGCGGGGCTGTGCTCGCTGCCAGAAGCGCCCTTCTTGCGACCGTTGCTCTTGGAGCGAACATATTCCCAGCCATGAGCCTTCTCCATGTGCTGCTTGCAGTTGGACTCGCGCTTCGAAGCGTACGTGCATGGGTGGTAGAGACACTTGTACTGAGCAGGGGCAGCAGAGTGCTTGTCGTTCATGTGCCTATCACGCTCCTTCTCAGTCGGCCAGCCGAGTTCAAAGTACTTGCAGTTCTTCTCGTCGCACTTCCATGGGCGAGAGTGAGTCTTCTCGTGCTTGGTCAGGTCGCATGGTCGCTTGAACTCCTTCTTGCAGTCACGGCAAGTGTGCATCACGTCTCCGGGTTTCTCGGACTTCCGTCGTCGCGCCATGGATCGGGTTACTTCGTCCTCGTCCATGCTGTCCTCGTCGGCGTCCGACAGACGACGCTTGATCCTGAAGGCGTTCGAGGCATCCACTGACATGGGGATGACGTTACCGTTCTTCTCCCGGACGAGCTCGACAGGACGGCCGTTGTGGCTGATTCCACCGCGGAGGGTGATCTTCTCATCGCTATAGAGTTTTTGATTAGCGCGGGCGAATAAAAAGTCGGCGGCGCGGTCATACCGTGAGTAATCCATCTCGTCCAGATCCTCACCCTTGGTTTCTTTTTCTCTTGTAGCAGCCATGATTGAAGCGTATCGTCTAATCTGTTCCATCAAATCGAGGAAGTAGCCGTCAGTATAAGGGCGGTCGGTTGGTAGTCGCTGGTCTTGTTCGGAGATGTACTGGACGGTCGTAGCCAAGAGTTGGATTGATCGTTGGCAAAAGCGGAAGTACGAGTCCGGGGAAGCCGACAGCTCCTTTAAACCACGAAAAATGCAATAAGCTTCTGCACTTTGAGAAAGACAACGGGTGATTCCACTTACCGGTGCGAGGAAGACGAGGGTCTTCTCGAGGTCACGGAGGTTGCGGATGTTCTTCTCACCTATGCGTCGAGGCACGTCCTTGACGAGGGAGTGGAAGTCCTTGAGAGACTCCTCGGCGAGAATGGGCTTGATGATGTAGTCGTGGATCTGCTTGCACGTGTGCTCGCCGAGCACGTCCTCTTCTGAAAAGGTGAGCGATGAGAAGGACCTGGTGACAGCCGAATGCGTCGAGCTGATAGAAGTGCTAATGGAGTCACGGACGCTCGAGCGCTGGGAGCGAATCTCGTCTTTATATATGTTAGTATGTGGGGCGTTCTCATCCAAGACGGGTGGCTGCAGTGGTTCCTTACCGTATTTCGATCCACTGATGCTGGAACCCAGACCGCTGTCAGAAGCGTGGTCGTGGGGGCTGCGTCCAACTGCAGTAGGCTTTGGGTCAATGTCCATTGGGGTGTGATCCAATGGGGCGCCGTCGAGGACAAAGCTCGGGACAGGAAGAACCTCCGGATCGTTGAGAAGGTCACAGCTGGTGACAGCGCTCTTATGGCCAGCGACCCTCGCTTCGAAGTCTTTGAGCAGGTTGGTGACGCGACGCACGTTAGGGTCCTGGATGGAGTCGTTGACTAGCTCTTCCAGCCGGTCAGTGTTGGTAGGCGAGCGGCGGGGCATGCAGAATCGGTCCACCTCGCAGATGTCGGACGAGATATGGGTTGGCGACGAGAAAGTGCCGCTCTTCCTTAGCTGCATGCCATGGGTGCTCAGAGGGGATGCGGAACCCTTAAGAGGACGGCGGCGGGGATGACGGTTCTGGTCGTGGGGTGCAGACATGTTGAGTATGACTGGTCGTCGTACCGGTTGAAGTGGGAAAGGCGGCCTCAGGTGAGTCACGGACTGCACAGTTCCCCAAGCCCGGCGATCCAAAGAGACCAAGTGTGAGTGGTTATCAGAGCCCAGATCACGTTTTCATTGACCGGGGATAGTGGAACCTTTGCGGCCGCGGAAGCTAGCAGCTGATAGGCTAGGGTGATGATGGTGATGCAGCGAGCGAGGAAAGGGCGCTGAGTCCTTTGGTCTGGTGTCGGAGGAGACGTGCAGGTATATAGGAAGGCGCAGCACGTGGAGTAAGACGGGCGGCGAGCGGCAAAAGAGGCACAAGGGCGGCGGGTCTGCGGTGCAAAAAGAGGACGGGGAGGGAGGCCTGAGGGATTAGGATTTGAAGCAAGAAGAGATCTCGAGCAGCGCGGGCTGGGGGGATAGGTGGTTCAAGAGGGAAGGAACGGGTTGTCGTCGCTTCCTCCAGTAAGTGGAGTTCAACTCCAGGCAGCAGTGCACGGACATCTGACGTTCCGCGCAGTCAGCCCCTGCTCGGATCCTGAATACGAGCTGCATACCATTATTCGCCCATTTGCACAATAGCAGCCATCCGTCTTCTGCGTATCTCTGCCGTGTCTGTTGCTGCGGGAGGTGATTGCGAGAGTTATTTCATCCCTCACCGCGATCCTACTGTGGTAAAAGACACTGAACCACGAGAATTGTGCTCCGTCCAGCGGTGACAAGACCCTGGCCAGAAACCGGTCAACCCAAGAAGCGCAGGAACGGCTGCTAGTGCACGCGTATCATTGGTGAATGGCGTCAGGCGCCCTATGGGTGGAGGCTTTGAAGGGCGGCAGGGCTGTGCATGGATGAAGCGACTTCGCCATCCTCACCACTTCTGGTGGATCAGCTGCTAAACACAACTAACACGTCGCTACTGATAAACCCGCCGTCCCCGCTCCCTGGAATTGCACATTTGCGCACGCCGTCCTACCCGCTTTTTCCGTCGCTGCGCAATTGCACCGTGTCCTGATGTTCTGGATGTCGGCCCATACGTATGCCGCATCCTTCGATTGGGCGAGTCGCGCAGGACGCCTTTTCACCGGAATCGTGGGGGCCAAAAACACGTCGTCAACCTGCATGTGATTTATAGGGCTGCGCATGCAGGGCGGAGAGATGTTGATATTGAGGGAGTCACACATATAAGACCCATGGCGGGGTACTCCGGGACTAAGTATAGGCTTGTTGGTTGTCTCACACTCTCTACGCAGGTCGCCACCCCCAGACGTTGGATGCACCCTCTCTCTCACGACTCGCTGCGGACAAAAGCCGGATATTTAAGCGCGGACATATCTCTCACCGATTACGTCGCCATGACTAGCATTCGAGATGTCTGTTCCTATCGCCAGCTACTCCGTCCATCTCAGACTTCACTGCACTTCCTTCCTTTTGCAAAAGCATGCACCGATGACTCGTCAGATCGCTCTACACTCATACTCCGATCTCATGGGCCGCCGGCTTCAAGTTTTCATCCTTCTTTCTTCCAAACTACGACACTGTCGCAACTTCACTGCTACGACAGACATATCCAGAGTCTCCAACGCGACTCTATACCTAGTACAACACACTACCAAATATCACGTGTCTTAAAGTGCTGTCACGCCCCTCTAGCCAAATTTATGCAGCATCCTGGTCGCCGGCATCACGTACCAGTAATAAAAGCTGTTCGCTATCATGATCATTTATGCTAGTTCCTCAGCCACCTCCAAGGGAAAGTTTGAACACCTGTCTAGCTACAGAGAATGGTAGAAGTGAAGAAGCTAGAACTTGAAATTACGTGAAGATTTTGATATCTTTCGTTTCTATACTAATGTAGACGGCAGACGGCATCGCATCCACTCAGTTCCTTGCATGTATAAGGTGTTCACGACACGATTCTAGTAGGTCGGTACGGTAATCCAGATGCCAACCCCACTGGCGCGCAGAGATTTGCCTAACCAGTATCTCCAAATCCAACAACCTCGTTCCTTCATCAAAGGTGTTCCACCTGCGCAAGGCCATACTCCTACAAACTTCCCTCACAACCCAGCCCTTTCCATTCCAATCTTTGAATTCGCCTCGCCGTGCTCTTTCAACCTCTTCAGTGCGCGGCTGTGACATCTTTCGGTTTGTAGTGTATGCATCTTCATAATCTCTCTTGCGCATCAGAAAATTGTTTATGTTGAATCCAAACTGCTCCATCGTAAAGTCTGCAATGTATTCCGCTCCGGTTTGGGTTCTGATATTGAAGACGCTGTGGCGAACAAATGGATCTGGCTGTTCCCCTTCCAAATGATGGACAACGTAAGGCTTAACTTGAACGGCGAGCCAAGTTATCGTCGCTCCTATTTCTTTAAACACAGGCTCGAGATAGATAAGAAAGAGTTGAATGCTTAAGTCGCAGTGGTTGTACTTGTTGCGCGCTAGCCGGTCTAAAAGGGATACGTCAGGAGGATGGGCATGAGGACCAATGCCATATATTAACCTTCGATTGCTATCTCGAACTGGGACTTCGGTAATGATGAAAGGTCTGCTCCATCCTGTTGGCACCCAAAGGACGTGGTAAACAGAAGGTCTGCGCTCGTACTCCAGTACTAGATTGAATATGTGCCAATATAGCAAGAGTATCGACCGAATGCGATAGTATTCGTCCAGTGCTTGGCATGTCCACGGTAGTGTAGTTATGAAGTTCGTTGCCGTTGGAAAGTGTTGTAGAGATGTTGGAGGTGCGTGATGTTCTGCCAACAAGGGGGGCTTTGGGGTCGCTGGAGGTGTGGGAGGTTCTGTTGGCTCTGATGGTGTCACGCTGTCCCGACGGGGGCAGGAGAAGGTGGGAGATGGAGGAGGTGTCGTCTCTGATGATATTACGCTGTCCTGGCGACGACGAGGGAAACTGACCGTTGGAGGAACCTTGCGTGTGGAGTTATCATCCAACATCGGAAGGGGCGAAATGGACATGATGAGTCCTCGGGCTGTGATGACTGTGAATCTGCTGATACAAAAGAGGAGACGATCTAACGCAGTTTATATACCGCGTAGGTTTCGAATACCACAGTGGGATATGATGGGCTTCTGTGGATTGTCCTGTAGATTTTCTATGTCGAGCCACGGCACCGTGCAATCGCCCAATACGCTCTTTTCACTGTCAAATCCAACACTGCATCTGAGTACAGGAATCATCTACCTAGATATAGAGCGAAAAACCTTTTCGCTGTATTCTTGGGCACACACCGTCCATCCTGTGGTCCCGCGATCACGCTTCGCAAAGGTGTTACCAACTTGAATAGCTCGCTTATAAGCACTACCCGACATTTGAACTAGACGAATTCGGTATTCTCCATACCGCAGGTCTTTGGCTGGTAGTCGCTGTATACTCCGCCGTGGTAATCATGAGATTGCTCGGAGACTAGATCGCGCCGCAGTACGTCTGGGCCGTGATACGTGGGCCAGAGACAGGTAGAGATCTTGACACGCATATCGGCTGATGCTTTACGTTAGTTCTGGTATATGTAGCCTCGAGTCCAATCCATAGATACGTGTACCATGGTAGTGCGATGGATGCTGTTACCTTTCCCCACGATCCTATCGGTGCGCGACAGACCTCCGCCAACGCTGTTGCAACTACATCCCAGCACCATGTTCGGCCAACTACCTAGGTATCCTCCAAACCAAGCAAAAGCTCAATCTCGCGTGTGGATGACAACATGCAGATAAACCGCGGGACGCGGCTCATGAAACCTCCATCCCGAGTTGCGCGCGCAACATTGCTTCAGGCAAAGAATCGCAGTCGTCGCCAAAAACCAACGTCGAAGCCATGACCGCGAAAGAGGGGAGCTATTATGGGAACATGCAGGTTTCCCGCGCGCAGTGGATCAGGAGAACCACCATGTGACATCAGCGTGCTCCGCGTTAAGCGACTTGACCCTGAAGGTACTAGCGCCCAAACTCTGGGAACAGCCAACGCCAATGAGACGCCGGGCAGTATAGTTCCGTTTCATGAGCCCCGTCGAGCTCAAACCCCTCGCGATGCCGTTGCCGCCGTCGTCGTTCTGACTGTTCAACCCTCTCTCTTTCCGAGGCGAGTCTCCATCGCTCTCGTCTTTCTTGTCGCTCTCTCTCCCTGCTTATCCTTAGGTCTCTCGCGGCCGTTACAATCTCTCTATAGGTTCACGCTGGTTCGTGCCTACACGCTCACTCCCTCGCGGTCACATCGCGTTATCGCGCATTCGAAGCGTTCGCAAACGAGTTTTTCGGGTCGATTATTTGAGTTTTTTTGCAAGATGTTGGGTTTTCACAGAAGAACGAGGTCTTTAATACCGGTTAAGGATTTGGGCAAATATGATAAGGTTGCTATGGTTGAGGAAGAGGAGGAGCGGGATGTAGAGGAAGAGATGGAGAGTCACAACGCGCCAGACGGTGCCGATAAGTCGCGGCGGACGCAATTGATGCTGGTTTACCTCATCTTCCTTGCTGAAGCGTAAGTTCTACTATACATCTCATATGAGATGACCCGTTTCTTCCGGCTTGTGCTAACATTGGCGTAGCATCATGGCATCAAGTCTCCAGCCACAGCTCCAAATGCTCCTCTCATCCTCCGACTACTGCGGCACCCTCTCATCGTCTTATCTCCGAAGCATACTCGACTGCGCGTACGCATTCGGTGGAACAACGGGTCTATTCTGGGGATACCTCGCCGACCGCATGGGAAGACGGCGCGTTACGCTCATCGGGCTCTGGAGCATGTTTGCATGCTGCTTGAGCATGGGATTCGCAACTAGCCTCGTCAGCTGCACAATCTTCCGCTTCGTTGCGGGCATGGTCAGCTCGGCGATCGTATGCACAACCCTGACCATGATTGGAGACTTGAGCACATCGGCAGAGGAGAGGGCCAAGAATGTCGCCCGACTGCCTACCATTTCTCTGGGTGGCTCCATGGGCCCTATCATGCAACTCATGGTATCGGAGAGCCTGCAAGCATACAACATGGTCTGGCAAGACTACCCAACACTGGGCTCTGAGCTGGCCTGCGGAGCCGTACTCTTCGGCATCGCGCTCACGGCGAGCATCTGCCTCAAGGAAACGCTTCCCCACCACAACGACCGCTCAGCAGACCCCGTCGACATGGACTGCGAAAAGGCTGCTTTCCTCCGCCGCGACTCAGAAGACACCAACGTCACTCTCGTCGACTTCGCTCGCCCAGATCCCATCACCATCTCGCAGTTCCTCCAGGCCCCTTCCCTCATGGTCCTCCTATCCTCCTTCTGCCTCCTCTCGCTCCACGCCTCGACCTTTGACGTCGTCCTCCCCCACCTCGGCCACAGCAGCACAGACCAAGGAGGCATGGGCATCTCCTGCGAATGGCTCAGCATCGTCGTCCTCTGCGTCCGCGGCATGGCCGGCATGGTACTCTTCTACGCCATCCCGTACGCAACCGAGAAATACGGCCTCGTCAAGCTCTACCGTTCCGTCTCCGCCATGCTCCCCGCAACCTACGTCCTCACCCCCATCCTCGCCATCGTAGTCACCTGCTCCGGTCTCGAACCCGTCATATCCACCTTCTCCATCTTCGCCCAACACCTCCTCACCGGCGGCGCAAACGTCGTTGTCTCTCTCCTCGTCCTTAACACCACACCCGATGCTTTCTCCGCCGGCACCGTCGTCGGCATGATGCAAGTCGCCAGCCTCTTCAAGGCTTTCGCCGTTGCTGTTAGTGGAACAAGCTACTATTTCAGCGACGACCTCAGTGTGCAAACAACAAACTTCGCGCTGTGGACTTGCCTCGCACTCTTCGGCATCGTCGGCGCGGGTCTCGCGTGGTTCGTCCGTGAGAGACCGAGTGTTGAGAAGGATTTCCCCAGCGAGGTTCTCTGCTGGGAGACTTGCTTTGATGCTGATGCTGAGAAGCAGTTTAGTCTGGAGGATGTCCAAGAGGTTTGATTGATACCATCGCTATCATATCATCATCTGTCCGTTGTATGTCTTGATGTACCAATAGCGCGTCGACATTGCGTGTTTTTCCTATTCTTTCGTTTGTTTGTCGTGTGTTATGCTGTTTATCCATCGGTCTCCTTGTGTTTGGGTTCCGAACTCTGCTTCTTGGGTTGTATGAGTATATAAGCAAAACATCATATTCTGGCTCGTGAGCCAGCCATTTGCCTTGATAAAACTTTCACGATTTGCAAATGTGATTTGATCAATTCAGCAGTGATCCTCCGCGCGCGTGTACATGCAGCATAGACAAAAAGACCGAAAGGGACAGAAACCCTTGGGTTGCTAGGTTGAACGGCTCTGAGGGTCACATATTCGCCCGCTCTAAGTTGGCAATGCTAGAAGCGATGACAAGGTATGGCATCCCGCTGTTGAGCTTGCTCAATGTCAGTTTGTTAGAAAGAGGTTCGTGAGCTACATGTCAGGAATGGCGTGTCACAACATCAAGTATCAGATGGAAAGAAGTTTTTGAAATGTAATCATTGTACTATCGACGACTAAGTTGCCACAATGGGCCTACATCAAACCGAGTGATTGAGTATCTCTAATCAAACAACTTTTACCCATTAACGCCATACCCGAAGGCCGAAAACCAGATCCGATGATCATATCACATCATATCGTACGGCAGCTCCATTACTTACTCTCCGAGATGATCAAAGCAGATACACGAAAGGATGTGAAAGGCGATGACTCAAACGAGACGCTTAGTCGAAGCTCTTCTTCTGTCCCTGGAAGTCGCCGAAGCCACCACGGTTGAATGAGCCACCGCGGCCGCCACGGTCACCGCCACGGCCACGGCCGCCTCCGCGACCACCACCGAAGCCACGGCCTCCGCCACGACCACCGCGGTCGCCGAAGCCACCACGGCCGCCGCCACGTCCACCGCGACCACCACCACGGCCACCACCGAAGCCACCGCCGCCACCGTTGTCCTCACGAGGTTGAGCGTAGTCGATGCGGATGGCACGGCCGCCGATGTCCTGGCCGTTCAAAGCCTCAAGAGCGGCAGTAGCCTCCTCCTGGGAACCGAAGTCGACGTATCCGAAACCCTTGAGGGAGCCGGTGTCACGGTCGGTGGGAAGAGAGACACGGGTGATGTTACCGTACTCCTGGAAGACCTCCTGGATGCTCTCGTTGGAGCACTCGAATGAGACGTTGCCGAGGAAGAGGGTGCTGCTGGGAGGGCTGCGCTTGTCACCGTACTTGTTGGCACGGGCACCGTTGGCCTCGGGCTTAGCGCGGGGAGTGCTGAAGTCGACGTTGAGCTGACGGCCGTCAAGCTCGTACTCGTGCATCTCCTTCTGTGCCTTGGCGGCGTCGGCAGCGTTGGCGAACTCGACGTAACCGAAACCCTTAGCGCGGCCAGTCTCGCGGTCGGTGATGACACGGCAGCCAACAATCTCACCGAAACCCTCGAACTCGCGGCGGAGCCAGTCCTCGTCGATGTTCCAGCTCATGTTGCCAACGAAAAGGTTCTTGATACCCTCCTCAGCGGCGGGCTCCTCAGTCTTGGTCTTCTTGACAGCGGGAGCAGCGGCCTCCTCAGCCTTGCGCTTCTTGGAGGGAGCCTCCTCGCTCTCGGAAGCGGAGGAGTCGTCGGAGTCGGCGTCAGAGGAATCGTCAGAGTCGGAGGTGGAGGTGGCCTGTCAAAGTTAGTCTACGTTGAGTGATGGGAACATGGTGAACTAACCTCAGCCTTAGCGGCGGGCTTCTCATCCTCAGACTCGCTGCTGGAGTCGCTGTCGGAGTCGCTGGACTCAGCCTTGGCTGCGGCCTTCTTTACACCGTTGGCCTTGGCCTTGGGAGCAGGCTTCTCATCCTCGCTGCTGTCGCTGTCGCTGTCTTCCTCGCTGCTGTCGGAAGAGTCAGAATCGGAGTCGGCCTTAGCAGCGGCCTTAGGAGCAGCCTTGGCAGGAGTCTTCTTCTGCTCGACCTCCTCGCTGCTGCTCTCAGAGGATTCTTCGCTCTCGCTCTCGCTCTCAGACGAAGAATCAGACTCAGGCTCTGGGGTAGGAGCCTTCTTCGACTTCTTCTTGTCCTTGACGTTGGAAGCAACTGACTTGGCAATGTCCTTGCTCTTCGACTTGGGAGTAGCAGCGGGCTTGGTGACGCGACCAGCCTTGACGCTCGCGAGCTCAGACTTCTTCTCCTTCTTGGACGACTTGTCCGCGACCTTGGTCTTGCCCATTTTGATGATAGGTAACTAGATCTACAACATATTAGTATTGTGAAACGTGCGAAGAGAGCGCCGATGATGTGCGACAGAAAAAGGAAAGAGAGGAGCCGACGGCATGAAGCCGTCGCTCGGGCGCTGACGCCAGAAGGTCATCGTATGCGCCAGCCTGCTGGTCTGATTGTCTCAAATTGCGAAAAGCCCACTGGTATCTCTCGAGACCGCACGAAGCGGGTATCCCTCAAGCCCACGGAAAGCCCACAAGAGCCCACAGATACCGAGCTTCAAGGCATGTGTTCCCACAAGCGCCGAGAAGACGGAAGATTAACCCTCATAGTAGCAAAAAGCCCTCAGGATGATCTTGCCTTGCCCTGACGAGCGGCAGGCGTGCCCTCTGTAATGTGTGTTAAGGAAAAGCCAAACGTTGCCCACTGACTTGTAATTTGATCTGGTACTGGATGTTGCCCTCAGTAGCCCACTTGAGAATCGCGAAAGCCCTCAGTGTAGATTTCGAACGGTGAAAGTTCGAAAGAAGTTGTGAAGAAGGTTGATGGTAGGTAGATGCAAATGGCTGGGAGCGCGCAGTTTATGTAGCGGAAGGATCAGCATCGAACTTTTCAGCGGATCTGGGGCCCGAGCGTTGCGCTAGGGACGCGTTTTCTCGAGGTACGCTAGATTCGCCCCACGCGAACTCCATCCAACGGCGACGGCGGTATTTCCCTCAGAGATCTCAGGGTCTCGAGGTGACTGGGATTTATTCGAATGGAAACTAGATAGAATGATTTTTGTGTGGAAATGCTAGGAATACACCCACTCAAACTTTCCTCCGGTACCTAGGTAGGTCCTACCTACCTAGGTACTTAGAGGAGTTCAACCATGCACGAAATTTTGTTAGAGAACACACATGGTCTGCACAGCAGCAACATGGATCTATCTTGAATAGAATGTTTGCCGAGGTTGCCCACTGTGCCCTCATAATGGTGCTCACAGCAGCTTGATCATGCCGCAACCTATGTGTGATTTTGGCAGCATCAGTTGCTTACAAACGTGATATAAACGTTAAGGCTCCATCACGAACCAAAGCTACAGAGCAGCTAGTCTAGGTAATAGCCTGGACCAAGAGCGCTGACTCTTCATCGTCCGAAGAGATCTGGGTATCGAACTCTTCAAGGGCTCAAATGCAGGGCACAAGCTAGTGCAAAAGCGGTAAAGCGCAGAATCTCCGCCACGAGTCCTCGATTCCGTCCGGGCCCTCACCAAGCTCACCTGGGCAGCTCCAACATGGCATCTCCGGCAGCCCATAAACCGCGACGGCGGCGAAACATTGGAGAGGGCTCTCTCGCCCAGGTTGCACACGGTACACTCGATCTCGATCATTCGACCAACGCACGGAAGCCCGCGTTTCCTCTCGTCGCGTTTCTCTGGCCAGCCAAGGGCACCGTCTCGCAATGGGTCACAATACCCCTCATCTTGATGGCAGTTGGCCTATTCAGATGGACTGTCAGTTTGTGGGGCTATTCTGGATTCCAGTCACCGCCAATGCACGGTGACTTTGAGGCTCAGCGGCATTGGATGGAAATCACCAAACACCTGCCAGTGTCGAAATGGTACTTTTATGACTTGCAGTGGTGGGGACTGGATTACCCACCTCTGACTGCTTATCATAGCTGGCTACTGGGTGTAATGTATGTTGGAGCGTTGGATATTAAATACAAGTACTAATCGTTGCAGTGGTTCTGCCATCAATTCGAAATGGTTCGCTCTCGACGAGTCGCGGGCGCTCGATGACCCTTCCCTCAAGATATACATGCGAGCCACCGTCTTCGTATCCGAATACCTCATCTACGTTCCCGCGACGATCATCTTCCTCCGCCGATACTCGCGACTAGAGGGGGTCAACATTTGGGAGTCGTCGATTGCGCTGGTTGCCGTCCTAATGCAACCGGGGACGATCTTAATTGACCACGGGCACTTCCAATACAACACGGTTATGCTTGGTTTTGCAGTCGCAACACTCTCGAGCATGATCGCAGGGAGACCGCTGTGGGGATGTGTCTTCTTCGTTGGCGCGCTTGGCTTCAAACAGATGGCCTTGTTCTATGCGCCTGCAGTATTCGCATACCTGCTGGGCATTTGTCTCTTCCCCAGGATCAACATCGTGCGGTTCCTTGCGATCGCGCTGACTACAGTGGCTGCATTTGCCGTGCTATTTCTGCCGTTCTTGATGGGTGTCGCATATGACAGATATACCCACTTCAATTACGATCCTTTGGAAATGCCCCCGCTGCTGACCTTGAGATGGTTCATGACGCCCTGGAATATGAACTCCTGGTACTACCCATACGTTCTGGAGATGGGGCAGGCGATCCACCGCATCTTTCCCTTCTCTCGTGGATTGTTCGAGGATAAGGTTGCCAACATCTGGTGCACTATCCATACTTTCCACAAGCTTCATCGCTATCCGATCGAGCTACTTCAGCGTCTCGCGCTACTCGCCACGACCGCTGCGATTCTGCCGCCATGTTTGATCATCTTTGTCAAGCCTAAGAAGCAGCTTCTTCCACTGGCGTTTGCGGCGGTCTCCTGGGGCTTCTTCCTCTGTTCATACCAGGTGCACGAGAAGAACGTTTTGCTTCCGCTGTTGCCGATGACGCTACTCCTCAGCGGAAAGGATGGCCTACTACCGTCCACCCGCGCGTGGGTTGGTCTTGCGAACATGCTGGGCGTTTGGACAATGTTCCCGCTGCTCAAGAGAGACGAGCTACGAGTTCCATACTTTGTCATATCTCTCTTGTGGGCCTATCTTCTTGGTCTCCCTCCAGTCTCTTTCTCTGCCTACCATGAAGGCAGTCGTGGTGGACTGAATATCTTCAGCAAGATCCTCCACCTCAACATCTACCTGGCCATGATTGGATGGCACGTTGCGGAGGCCTTTTACCCTCCCCCAGCCGACAAACCGGATCTTTGGGTTGTCGCGAATGCGATTGTTGGAACGGGTGGCTTTGGTATTTGCTACCTGTGGTGCTTGTGGCGCCTTGTTGTCAAGAGTGAGTTGTTTGGAGCAGAAAAGAGTAAGACGCAGTAAAAGATTGGTGGATGTTCGTTGGTGCACTTCAGCACTTCTTCAAGATACCCAGGTAGATCATGGAGGGAAGATTTTGGTTCCTCATGTATAGTATTGTACATCGAATCTAAAAACGCGTATCGTGCGCAACGCCACCCATATGCTCGTGTTGTACATGTGGTATACATTTCCGTCCTTCATTGCGCTATATCTTGAAGCCGTATCCAGCCATGCACTTCTTGTAGTCGTCGACGAGGGTGAAGCACTCCTTCTGGGGGTCGTTCGATGTCGAGAAGAGCATGCATTCGTCGCGTTTAGCCTTTTGGTCTGTGCAGACGCAGCATGCTATTCGGGAGTCAGTACTAGAGCAGTAGGTACCAAGAAGTTGGGTAGAAACTCACGCTTAACTTTGGCTGGCGCGGCGGTGTCCTTGAGGTCTGAGCCCATGTTGGCAGCGGTTGGCGGTGCTAGAACGCCATCAATTAGCTACTCTGCGTCGCATACCAGCCATCATCAAACCGCAAGCATACCTGACGACATTGTGAGTGTGGGAGTGCGGTGGAGGTGAATTGAAGATGCTTAGCAATCGCAAAAGTTCCCAGGACATGTCATCGGACTCCCGCGGCGCTCCATACGCCACACGAGGGCTTGCACGGTTCGGCTAAAACCAACCCTGCAGGCGACAGGGGGTTCTAGACAATGAATCTCAATCAACCCCACTACGTTTTGCGCCCCACGACTCACACTATAAAGTATAAACAACAAACCCGCCCCCCTGTTGTGCTGCTTTCCGCTACTATATCCTCTCTGTAACTTGCAACGGGGCGTGCGAAACCATGGCTGGCGCAAAGATCTTTTCTATCGAGGGCAAGGGCCTCAAACTCACCACCGCCGAGGATATTGAGCCGCACATCCAGGACCTCAAGAGCAACGACGATGTAGAGGAGATCAAGTTCTTGGGCAACACTCTGGGTATTGGAGCCAGCGAGGCGCTTGCTAAGGTCTTGGAGAGCAAGAAGAACCTCCAGGTATGTTTACAGCCCCGCTCATCGGCGCTGCGATGTCAAAGACGGACTGACTGACCGAGTTTCCAGGTCGCAAACCTCGCCGACATCTTCACCTCGCGTCTCCTCTCTGAGATCCCGCCCGCGCTATCCCACCTCCTCACCTCCCTCCTCACACTACCAAACCTCCACACCGTCGACCTCTCGGATAACGCGTTCGGCCTCAACACGGTTGCCCCGCTCGTAGACTTCCTGTCGCAACACACCCCACTCCGCTACCTATACCTCAACAACAACGGTCTTGGACCCGCCGCCGGTGTCCTCGTCGCCGATGCGCTCACCGCGCTTGCCGCCAAAAAGGCCGCCGCGCGGAAAGACGGCAAGGAAGTTCCCGACCTTGAACTCGTAATCTGCGGTCGCAACCGCCTGGAGAACGGCAGCATGGGCGCATGGGCAAAAGCCTACGCCGCCAACACGGGCGTCAAGACCATCAAGATGACGCAGAACGGTATCCGTCAGGAGGGTATCTCGCACCTCATCACCAACGGCCTCGCCCACCTCTCCAAACTAGATACCCTCGACCTCCAAGACAACACCTTCACAGCCATGGGCGCAAAGGCCCTCAGCAGCGCCGTCGGCAACTGGACTGAGCTCCGCGAACTCGGCGTAGGCGACTGTCTGCTCAGTGGCCGGGGCGGTGTCGCTCTCGCTGCCGCACTAGAGAAGGGCAACAATAAGAAGGTTGAGGTCCTGCGCCTCCAGTTCAACGATATCAACGCCAAGGGTCTCGCTGGCCTCGCCTCCGCATCGCACACCGCGCTCCCTGTACTGCGTCGCGTCGAAATCAACGGCAACAAGTTTGACGAGGAGGACCCCAGTATCGAGAAACTGCGCGATGTGCTCGATGCACGGAAAGAAGAGAGTGGTGAGAATGCGGACGACGAAGA